TTCCCTCGAGCAAGAGCTTTGCTGCTGAGATATCCCAGAGAAGCAATGTGTGCCTGTTGTTGGCACTTGCCTTGAACAGCGTGTGCAAATACATCCCACCACTAAGAGCCCTTTTCTCAAAGGGTTTTGGGAGGTGGAGCACTGGTACCCAGGTACACTAAAAAATAATCTTCATTTGGACTGTCAGTTCCTCCTGCTCCTTGGCTGTTTCTGGCTCTAACCAAGTCACTAATGTGAAATGCTTTGTGAGGACTAAGACTTGGTAAACAGTAGGCTAAGAGGAGATGCCTTCCTCTGCCCACTTTGGGAATGGTTTTCCTCTGTTGCTACTTGCAGAGTGGTCTGACTCTGAAGGACAGCATGGAGCATTGCAGAACTAAATCACTCTTTTGGCTTTTTGGCCATTAGTTTCTTGGTCCCTGTGCTGCTAGAAAAGAGTGATGACATGAGAGTTTGTAGTTCTGACAGTGATTAATGACAGAAAATAAAAAAGGAGACAGACATCTATGCAAAAAACAAGCAGGACGTATATGTGCCGTCCTTTTTAAGGTAACATCTTAGTTTTGCACAATTCTAGCTTCCCCCTCCATGTTCGTGAGGGAATGCTGAAGCATCCCAAACTCTGTTAAGGAAAATACAGTACAGGGAGGAGCAAGGAGCTTACCTGTACCAGCTCCTCTTGTCTCTGGCTGAAGGGGTTAGGTGTGCTGCAATTAACCACTGCATGTAAACAAGTCCTGAACTTGGTATAAATTTATACCATGAGTTTTGACGGGTGACTTTTATCTTGGAGGCTCTGCAGGCTCATCAGGGGTGCCAGAGGACTTCTCTCCAGAAGAAGTCCTCTAAAGTTCTTGAAGAAGGGTCTTTCTGTATATGTTGAGCTGCATCCCCTGACCACTGCTTTCCTTTGATACATCTCAGTAGTGATTTGTGACATAGCTACAAGTGAAACATTGCTCCACCGTTCCTGATCCTTCTCTTGTAGGTGGGTGCATTAAATGCCTGTTTCTTTGCTAGACGAGGTTTCCATGTTGATGTTTACGAAGCCAGAGAAGGTAAGTTCAGCCTGACCATTACTGCTTTGTTAATGTTTCTGTCCCTTTACTGATAACAACCGATAACAGTTTTTGAAAAAGCAAAAGAGGAACTGTGTGAGCTCACTGAAACTGCAGAAAGAAGTGAAAACTGAAAGCACTCTTTCCTTTAGCTCCTGGAGGGGAGCATTTATTTGAAATATGTTATCTTGTATGGAGGGAAACTACTCCCAGGCTGCTAAAATGATGCCCTTTTCTATGTTCTTGGATTAAATATTGTTTCAAATCCTAGGAAATATTGATTCAAAACCTTTGAAAATTGGCCTCTGAATGAAGGTTTATAACACAGTGCTGCTGAGTCAAGCTGGGTCAGAAGTTTGGAAAGCAATGGCTGCTGTTAACGCCGCAGCATCTCTGTTGGGTTTAAAGCATCGGCTTAACCTGTAACCACTGCCACTGGTGGTGAGGAGGGCTAGAGGTGAGAGGGGCAGAGGGAGAG